CACAATTCTTGTTGTGCAATGCTAAACCTTTATGTTGAAAGAGTGCAAATACATATATATTAATATATATTGCACTTATACATTGTTTATCTTGAAAATACTTAAATAATATGTGCTATAGGTTCTAAAATGGCCCTCTACTGTAAACTGACACTCTGGCTCTGAGAGAAAAGCCAGTTTGTAAAAAAAGTCTTGGTTTTGCTTGGTTAATAAATAATCAAACTCATTCAATGGCACAGCATCCTCTTTTACATCATCTCATAAACTTGATTTAATTAGTTAGTGCTGAATTATCGCATTGTATCGTGATATGGGTGTGAATCGTAACGTGTCGCATCGCAATATGTCACAAATGTATCGCTAATATATCGGATCATATTCTTTGTATCGAGATAGGTATCGGATCGGCATTATAGCTTAGATGCCCAACCCTAGTTTATTTTAGAAAATGAGAACTTAATACTACTGTAGGCCATCTTTCCCAAATAAGGCAGATGATAACTTAAAATTATTCCAAACAAAGAGGGGTCAGGCAGACCAACACACATCAGATCAGCTTAATTGCATGTAGCCTCTTAATACACTGATTACATTTTATAATTGGCAGCAACATGTAAAACTTAGCTTAGCAGGGACATTGAACGGGCGTCTGCACTCCATATATCACAGGTTGTTCGTCGAGGCAAAATAATTCCATGATTCTGATTTTAAACGCGATGTCTTTCCACCTCGTACTATCCCTGCTGCATGGTTCACGCCGTTTAATCATGCTTCTCATACTCCGCATAATCAGTTGTATGGCGTCTTCTAATGCCTATATCATGTTAGTGGTGTTAAAATGCCGTTGCTTGCTTCCACCTCAAGGGACTTTATCACGACAAACATTGTAAACGTCTAACTTTACGTCTTCATTGGACACTTTGAAATAGAAGGGGGAACTCATGTTGCCACTGGTAAGCTCTGCTCTGCTGATGTTTACCTGTGCGTTGTGCATGCACGTTGTAGGGATAGTTTACAGTTTAACCCAAAGAATGACGAGTCTGGTAGATGAAGAAGAGCCGGAGTCAGAGATTTAAATAAATAAATCAAGTTTACTGAAGATAGTTTGTAGTTTCATCAGCAGAAGCCAGCTTCAACACTCGCAATGAGTTCCCAGGCCGCTCTGCTTACAATCACCAATCAATAACAATTATACTTTCACATAACGTCATTAATTGCATCAAACATATAGGTGTTCTAACCTGATTGGTTAAAACACAGATAGACTAGGAACATTTCCACGTGGGGTTCGTGCGTATATTCTGAACAATATCTAAACATAAACGTCAGACATCCTTTAGACTGATTAGAGCTGACTCCAGACCTGTGAAATGGATCAACAATTAAATAAAACACACACACACAAAGTATAATCTGTTTCTTATCCAAGGCTGAGTGTACCGTCAGCCGTCTTTATCGAAACTGGTTAAAAACCGGTATAATCTACATTCAGGCAGTTATAATATCCTTACTACACAAAGTCTATCTTGAATAAAAAGTAGAATCACTTTAAAAGATTTAACCTTAAAAATAGCAAAATCACTTTAGACATTTTAGACAGTATTAACTCCTAGAAATAACAATAGAAACAGTTGCTTCCAACTCAGCCCTCAGTTCCACTCAAGGTCTCCATGACCTCTGACCTAGTTTGCTGGCTCCTGAAAATAGGTATAAAAAGACAGGCAAATGCACTGAACATTCTTATATTAAGCTATGTTTTAACTTATTCATTAATTAAAATCAATTCACAGTTAAATACTGAGAAACAGGTTGATGAAAACTATAAAAGTTGGTCCATGATGAGATGGACTGAAAAACAGAAATCCGAATCCTTCAACGTTGAAAAAGTCGTGCGAGTAATTCATGTCAAGTGATCTGCATTTTTTAATCGGCGCTTTTGGGGTTTGCCGATCAAGCTATTTTTAGCCAATATCGGCCGATCGTGACCGGTGGCCGATTAATCGGAGCATCACTACCAGAGAGTGTGTGTGTGTGTGTGTGGTCAAGTGATTTGCATTTTCAGTGTTTTGGTGTAGACGGCGAGTTGTTCAGAAACGCTGGGTGAAACGCTAGTGTGGACGCGAATCGTTTTCATTCTAAAACGTCGTTTTAAAACAAAATCGCCCTAGTGTAAACGGGGCCTCAATGCGTTGCATTCACTGCGTGTTCAGCGCAAATGGCCGCTAAATGTAAAATTTAACACTGTACACATCATTAAAGAAGTTTACCTTTACTAAGTTTAAACTGAAACTGCGGCTCATGACAAAGAACGGTTTTGTGCAGGTGCATGGGTCATATTTTGGGTCGGCTGACTCGCCTGCTTTATTCCACAACCGAAACGTTTAAAGAGTAGTAGAAGTGAGACTTTTCTTCCTTTCTTTTGTCTGCTCTTTCTTTCATGTTTCTATTTAGTTACTGATGCCTGCTTTGCAGCTTTCAGCATTGAATTAAATGATTATAATCTTACGTTGGTTTTGCAGGGCTCAACAATAAGGACTGCCTGGTGGCCCAGGGCCAGTGTGAGAGACGCTTGGGACAGTGGACAGGATCATTACTGGCCCGATTGGGACAGTACTGCCTTGTCACTAACATTTAATTTGTCTGCGACTATTTGTCAATTGCGTGCATTTTAAGTTTGTGCTTTTAAGTCTTTAAACAATACCTTGTCTGTGATGTAGTAAACACCATATTTCTTTAAGGTTCCTCTTATCTGATTTGATGTTTTGAGCATGCAATTTTTTTCCATAACCTGGTAACAACCAGAACAGGGAAGAAACAGCAACATGGCGGCAATATCAAAATATAAGGCTCAAAGAAAATGTCTGTTTCTAATGTTTTGGAAGCAGACATTTACATGTGAACAACATGACAAAAAAAATGAAGTGATGTTTTGCAAAGTTGGCCGTCAGTTTAACAAGTCTGCCCACCTTTTGTTAAATAATTTCGAACTGTAATAAAACACCTCCACATTTTCCATACTACTCTTTTTGTTTGCATAACGCTTTAATAATTTTTTTTAAGTATTAAAATTGTAGACTGACAAACTTTATTTTTGACACATTATTTAAAATACGCGGCTAAAATATAGCTATTAAGTTCTTTTTTTTTTTGGTGGGGCCATTGGAAATTTTGGCAGGGCAGGTAAAAATCTGAACCACTGGCCCGATCAGACCAGTACAAAAAATCCTTAGCGTTGAACCCTGTTTTGTAGCAGAAATATTATTTCTTAAATTGACATGCATATAAAAACAATAGTGCTAAATCTATATTTCCTACTGCAGTTCTTCATTTTAGTTTGATGCAAACCGCAGATTTATTTGTCATAATGTAACAGTACTTTTGATAGCAGATAACGCATTCAAGGCAGCATCATGAAAAAATGCAATTCATTGTTACTATCATCATCATCATCATCATCATCATCAATAATATATTTTATAATTATTAGACATTCATTTTGGAATTATTGCACAAACATCAATAAGTCATCACAGCATTAGTTAGATAGCTGTTTCTAATAACTGTTATTCCTGATTGATGTTGTTTTCAAATACAATAAATCTCTTCATACTCAATTTGCAGTGGTGCTCATTCATTTTTTATGCTGCTCCTCAATTTTTAAAGTTGACACTCTGGAGTACCGGTGCTACCAAGTAAAAAAGTTAATCCCTGCATTAGACAAATGCATGTTTTTATATATATATATATATATATATATATATATATATATATATATATATATATATATATACTTATTTTTATGTATTTATCTGTCATTTATTTTCAGTGTAAAATTCTCACTTATGTTTGATTTTTTTTTTTTCAATTACTCACTTTAAAGCACAGAGATAAATTGACTTTAGTTTGTTTTTAATGTTATTATGTGCTGTATGACGTGGTTACTGAGCAGCAATAAACAACACTGCAAAATATAAGGAGTTTTCATCTGATTTTCTAAACTAGTAGTGTTTTGAAATTAATGAAGGCATAATAATAGTGATAATCGTGATTATTTCCCAGACTATAATCGTACAACCAAAATCTATAATCGTTGCATCCTTAATCTCGGATGAGTAGGGTCACACAGATTTCTCTGCCGTTTCCTCTTTCCTCTTAGAGCTGTGATGCACTCCAGAATCTGACAGATTGATTAGCTGTGGGCTCTAGAACAGTTAAATGTTGTCCTACAGTGTTCTGCCTGGATTTCATCAATAGTCTTGCATTTACTAACACAGACTATAGTTGAAGTGTTTGGAAGTAATTCACATTTTCCTCCTGTAGAAAAACATCATGAGAACAGTGTTTAGTGGCTCAATGTGTTACAGCAGCTGTTGAAATTAAATGAAGGAAAATAGTTTGGGCAAATATTCAATATTTATATAAAGAAGGTGACTGGAAGACCGGTGTACCTTGCTGAAGACTGAAATAATCGTGATTTTATAGTTGTTGTCTATAATTTTTTTGTATCACTTAAATAAAATGCTGTCTTTTCACTTTTATTTCAGGCCTGATGGAGGAGACACACCATGTTAAAATGAGAGGAAAAGCTCACTCACCGAAGAGAAAAGACAAAAAATGGGTCACCTGCACTCAGTGTGGAACGAGTCTGGCAAACAAAAAGAATCTCAAGATCCACATGATGATCCACACTGGAGAGAAACCATTCACATGTTCTCAGTGTGGAAAGAGTTTCAGGGACCCATCATCCCTTAATAGACACATGTTGATCCACTCTGGAGAGAAAACACACACATGTGGTCAATGTGAAAAATCATTTCTGTTGGCTTCAAGCCTGAATAAACACTTTAGAGTTCATATAAAGGGGAAGCCTTCATGCTCTTTGTGTGGAAAGAGTTTTGCAAATGAAGTAAATTTAAGAAATCATCAGAAGATCCACACCGGTGTGAGAGAGTATGTGTGCTCTGAGTGTGAGAAGACTTTTTTTACTGCTGCAAACTTACAACAACACCAGATGATTCACACTGGAGAGAAACCGTACAAGTGTTCACACTGCGACAAGAGATTCAGTCAGACCTCACATCTGAAAGCACATGAGAGGACGCACACTGGAGTAAAACCGTACAAGTGTTCACACTGCGACAAAAGATTCAATCAGTTAGGAGCCCAGAAAACACATGAGAGGATACACACTGGAGAGAAACCTTACAAGTGTTCACACTGCAGTAAAAGATTCAGTCATTTATTAAGCCTGAAAGCACATGAGAGCATTCACACTGGAGAGAAACCATACAAGTGTTCACACTGCGACAAGAGATTCAGTCAGTTACCACATCTGAAATCACACGAGAGGATTCACACGGGAGAGAAACCTTACAAGTGTTCACACTGCGACAAGAGATTCAATCGGTTAGGAAGCCAGAAAAGACATGAGAGGACTCACACCGGAGAGAAACCTAATAAGTGTTCACACTGCGGCAAGAGATTCAGTCAGTTATCACATTTGAAAGTACATGAGAGGATTCACACTGGAGAGAAACAAGTGAGATTCAGTCAGTCAGAAACATTGAAAAACGCACAAGAGTGTCACGTCTGAGGCCGTACTCACACTAGGTAGTTTCCTCGAACCGGGCCAAAGCAGGCTTGTCCCCCCTCCTGTCTCCCCCGACGGCCAGCACTCACACCACAAATGGGCCTCGGCACGCTTACGTCATCGATGCTGTGCTGTTCAGTGAGCGCTTTCGCTCAGCACAGTGGAGATTTCTCTAGTTATGTCGTTTCAGTGGTTTGTTATGCAGTGACATGCAGTCAAATATTTCGCCAAACAGTCCTTAGGGATGCGGTGACACGCAGTCAGATATTTCACCGGACAGATCCGCCACTTTTGGCGCTCATAAACAATCATAAAGCTCTCGTGCTGCAGGAATGAGGAGGTCTGCTGAAGGCGCGCAGCTGTCGTGCTGTGAGGAGTCTTTAATAAACGACGGCAGTTTGCGTTTACTGAACAGTAAGAATGATTAATAAATCCATATGAAACAGTCCCTTAAAAGTCACGTCTCGCTTTCAGTTTCGGGCTTTGGCGTGTTTTGCACTCACACAAAAGCGTACCGCGCCAAAGCCCAAGTAAACCGCGCTCGGGCACACCTCTTCCAACCGGGCCAGGGCCGGCCAAGTGAACCGTGCTTGAGCCCGATTCAGCGCACTCACACTTCTCAAACGATCCGGGAAACGGGCCTGGGCACGGTACAAATGGCATAGTATGAGTAGGCCCTTAATGTACAGATATGCAAACTTGTAGTATTGATGGGTTGTTCTGGAACAAATCTTTAATGTTACTCTGCAATAACGAGTCCTTTCAGAGTGATTCTTTTATTGCTGTATGTGCAGAAAGGGGAAATGAACAATTATTTTATATTTTATCAGGTTTGAGTCGTTCATTATTCACATGAAATATCTGTAGATCCATCCTCTATGCACTTTGAGCCGGAAAAAAGTATTTATTCCTCTTTTCAAGTCCTCTAGTTTTTGAGTTGTTTGTCTTTACATGTAACTTGATGGCAGAATCAAATGAAGGCAATAGTTAAATCAATATTTTCATCTAAAAGAGCTCAACTCTCAGTATTCTTAACACCCATATGTGTTAAACCCTGTCAATACACATTTAAAAGATATTAGAGAATGTTTTGTTCTTTAAGTTTAGGATAATTCATTAATATAGATCGATTTAAATATTCTACAATGGCAGTCCACAGAACCATTTGTGGCAAATGTAAGAAATTTCCAAATGAAATGCTGCTGAAAACACAGCAGAAATCTACCATTGATTTACTGTAGTTGTAGTTACACTGAGTGGTGCGCTTTGGTACATTTTTATGGCCGTTCGTCGCTTGTCTATATTTGAAATAACAAACTTCTTGAGCTGATGATAATATCCTGTGCGTGACTATTGAAGTGCTTCTGACATCTGATCCTTTCAGAAACAAACAAACACGAGAGTGAAGCATGAAAAACAAAGGAGGAAATGATTCTGTCAGCAACCAAACATGAACAATCAGCCTTGTTCAACTATTATCATCACCTTCTGGACTATTATGAACACAGAATGACTTACTTACTCTCTAACAAGTGGCTGCATGTGCTGGAGAAGATTTAAGACACAGATGAGAGGGTTGCACTGACTGTGGGCTATATTTCTTGTTGATCATTGATCTGCAGTTATAATCAAATCATGTGGATAGAAAGGTTAGTAATGAGCATTTATACACAAGTATTTAAGTGTATGAAGCATCTGTTTTGTTAGAAGTGCTTCTCATATGTGATCAACCAGTACAGCTTTACCTTGACATTTCATCGAGTGAGAATGACGTCGACTGAACCTTTCTTTCATACACCACGCCTATAGGTAAACGCAAGCCTGATAAAGGTGATTCGTACTGTACCACTCACTGGAAATGGGCCATAATAGACTGGGAGGGCTATAATCCAGAGGAACTCTCCTGGGTAAACCTGTCACCGGTTCGGTCCCAAAGACTCCTTGCCTGAGTTTTAAGTTTGCCCTAACTAGATGTCCCAGAACCAGGTGCTGAACCTTCGTTAAGTTGCCACCCCATAAAAACAAATAATCCTCAAACTTTGCCATTTGTTTGTGCTACATTTGTGCTGATTTGTGCCGCAAAAATTAACGTTTGTGTTGGTTTTGGGGTCTGAGATATTAAGCATTATTTTTTTGAACGTGTGACGTCACTTCTCACCCCATGTTGCTCAAATGACTTCAAATCAGTACAGGTTGTTTGAGCTCAATTTGTGCTGGTTTGAGCCGTTAAAACAAACACTGTATCTGTTTACTTCGTTTAGATTTTAGCAAAATATTTCGGGAGTCGTCACTCTTCACCCCATTTTCTCTAAATCGCACAAAACCGGTGTCATTCTTCTGTGCTGCTTTGTGTGAATGACACAAGTTTTGTGCGATTTAGAGGAAATAGTAGGGTGTAGAGTGATGTTGGGGCTCCTGAGGTGTTTTAATTAGGCAATATCTAAACAATAAAAATAAATACAGTGTACATTTTAACAACACAAACCAACACGGGTGTAAGAGATCATTGAATGGTGGATTTCTATCTGAATGATGATTTTCCATCCATAATTGATCTTTTATCAGAAAAATATTCTTAGTCATTATTTCATGTATTGCAGTTCTGTTGACTGGTATTATTAAAACTTTATTGTAAAAAAACTATTTGCATAGTTTGTATTATTATAAAACTCATTTTCTTAAAATGTTAAATGATTTCTGCTGCTTTATTACATCATATCAGTAAAATATATTAACATTTAAAGTGTTTTCTGTGTTGCATGTCCACATTTAAGATGTTTACTCATGACACATGACGTCTACTGCAGAGATAATCGCTCGCTGTGATACAGATCCACAAAACAAGGTAGGAACACCTCAGTAAAGAGAATAAATCAAAGAAATACAGGGGAAAAAGAAGAGAAATGAAAGTGCCAGTCTACTCTTTTTGAAATTAAATTTAAAATGAGTCCAAACTTCTCCGTACTAAAACAATTTGCTGTGTCCCTGTTCTTATTCTTATACTAAGTTCTAGTCATCTCGACACATCATCCACATTTCTTTCATATTTAGTTGCCTACCATACTGGAGAAGCAGCAGGTTAATCTGCCATTCACGAGTCTTTCATGCTGAGAAATCTCTTCAGGTATTTGGATAACTATAAATTCAGAAGGTAAATGTCCAGACACGTCTTTATATTAGTTCACATTGTTGTTGCAGATGAAATATAACGCGGAAAACGTGATTTAAATATTTTCCAGTCGGCTAGATGTTAATTAATAGTCATTCACACAATGTTACCGAAGCCTCTACTTTTTGATGGTTGGCCGCGCACGTCCGCCATGTTTGTAGTTTGTTTACACTTTTCATATTATGTCGCACTGATCGATTCGCGTCCAACATATAATAATATTGTGAGCAAAATAAGCGGTTAAAGTACTTCAGATTTCTTACGGGAAATGCCGGAAATACACCAGAACCTTTGACATCTTATCAACATTCTGCGGTTTGGAACACTGATTCCATTTTGAACACGCGTTCCCGCCTTCCACCATTCAAATACAAACATAATGGCGTCACCAGCGTGAACTTACAATCGCCCATAAACAAAGCAAAGCTGCAGTGTATTTTGGGTTTGCTCTGCAGATGATGTTCTCTCTCTAATGAAAGGGGATGTGCAGTGGCGTAGCGCAAAATGCGGAGGCCCCCCTGCAGGGATCACCGATGGGGCCCCCAGTTTTCAAGGGGGTCGGGGGGGTTTGGGGGCGGCAGAGCCAGAGATATACACATATACACATATATCTATGATCGGGAGTTTTCCTGGATGTTAGTATTTTTATTTTTTTTCAATTATGAAAATTATAAATTTACATCACTTTTCTACATTGATGGATCAGTGATTGCACGGGCATTCCTGACAAAAAGCTTGTGTTTGTGTGTACAGAAATGTACTATTCACCCTCCCTGTTAAATTTGATCTAATCATGTCCTGAAACACAGCTCCTCTCCTGCTTTCACTGCTCATACTGACGGGGGAGCGATTCGTTTGTGAATGAATCTCCTTTATGAACGACTCATTCACTAGCCGACAATAATACAAGTTTCTGGCAGCGCAGCATCTCGTTGTCATATTTCTTTTTCATTGTTGTTTGCTGATTTTATTCAACAAAACTAGCATAAGCCGAGTATTTAGTGCGAATTGGAGCTACTTTGCCTTATGCTGAATGCAGTAAGTGACTGTTATCATCAATAACCTGACCTGTTTAGCACAAATTTCAGAACATACAAAAACGTAAAAAACTTTATCCTACCTATTGAATGTTCTGCCTTTGTGCTTTGTTTTCTTTGTTTGCTCGTTACTACACTCGTAGACAGCGCTACAGCCCCGCATCTTCACGTAATAACACTTGTCTAGTGCGGTTGAATGACATTTGTCCTGGGAGCACTGTACCAATGTGGCGGCGCTATTGACGCATGCTCAGGGTCCCTATGCGATATCTAGTGTATATATCTATATCTATGTCACAAATTGAGGTGCGGGAAAAGGAGGCGGAGTGGAGCGACAACGCGGGGAATCCTTCACAAACTGAGGAGCGATCACAAACCGAAAGCGGCGAGAGCGTAAAAGTAGCCAGAAGTCATTCATTTTTTAACGAGAACCGGTGGCGAGAAACAGCGGCGCGTCTTCATTGGCTATGACGCGGTTCGGCGGCAAGCAATCAGAATGAAGTAGTCCACCGCTTGAGAGGTGTTCAGAGAACACAGACCTGTGAACTTTGGTTCCGTCCACACTTGTTCCCAAGAGTTTGATTATTGCGGTTCCTGGATTTAAAATTATTGAAAACCGCGACGACGTGGGGCCCCCTAATCACGCGGGGCCCCCCCGCGGTGCGTGCCCTGCGGGCCCGTCCGCTACGCCACTGGGGATGTGGCGATTAGTGGATGCTGCTGTTATTGTCCTCTAGATGGCAGTAGTGCTGAGCACACAGTTAGCAGAGGCATTATCCGAGTAAAAGCTCAGAGCAGGGAAAACTCGTGTGGAGGTTCAGTGCTGAAGAAATCACGACAACACACTCCAGCTTTTATATTGAACCTT